CACCTACAATTCTAATTTTTAAATTTTACAGTTCTTGCAAATTCTCAAGTCAATGTTTGTTTTTTTCTTTTGCAGGTTTTGCTGAATCAAATGTACTTCATTTTCACTAAAAGACAACCGTAACTTCATTCTTCCTAGCTAATATGAAAATTGCCACAAACAACAAAAGAATAGCATTTTTACCAAACAACCTTCCTTCTAAGACATCTAGAAAATAATGGTCTGCTCCCATGGAAGACTGATCCAGATCATGCAGTTTGTCACAAGTTTGATTCAAAGTATTTTAGAAGCTGTGGTGTGTCTAAGAATGTAGGGAAACAGAAAAGTAGGAGGCCAATGTGCCTGGCGTGTATTTTTTCACTTCCCAATGGCAAAGAGTCGATAGGAAAGCAGGCCCTGTATGGATCTGTGAAAGGCTGGGGAAAAGATGAGGATTGAGAAAGAATGATCTTAGGTTTTCTGTTAAAGGAAACAGAAATGAAAGGCAGAAATAGATTGGGAAAGTCATTTTAAATATATGAGCTAAGCTGGGCCTGGGGAAGGGTAAGCAAGGAGCGTCTGTGAGAGAAGCAGTTTAGAAACCTGGTATATGGCAACTAGCACTGTTTAAAAGGTCTGCAATGTTTAAAATGGTTTAAAATTGTTCTTCTAGATGAACTGGTGCCATACAAAGCTGAAAAAAAAAGTGGGTAAAATGGGTATTGTAGATCACTGAAAACAAACAGGAAAACAACTAATGACTGTTCATATTGATGTGTAGAGCAGGAGATTTCATAACATTTTAATAGGGAACTTTTTTGTTTTAGATTGTTTTGCCTATATTGCAATTTTCACAAAAGCAGGAAGTAACTAACCTCTTGAAAGACCTAATTAATTTGAAGTTATAACACACAGAATGAGAAGTAAGGCTTTGGAAATTCCATCTTCCTGCTGCCAATAGCAGGAAGATTGCAATAGATTACTGATTGAGATGCAATCAATAACTGAACATTAGATGAGATGATGGAGTAAACACTAAAGATTTTAAGATGCTTGCCAGATTAGGCTCTGAAAACCGCACATTAGGTTATTGCTATGTACCTGTTAATGCTGAAGCAATATAAATATAATGACTAACCAAGTAAGGTATTCCAGCATACTAGATATGTTACATAACTATATATACAGGTCGTGAGTAATAAGAAAGTCTGCTTCCAAGGGAAAAAAAAAAAAAGGCTGTTGTCCCTAAATCTGATAGCTGTTATTCACCATTTACCTTCTGTACTGAAGAAATTAAAAGATTAAAAGTAGGAATAAGAAATCAGTGGCTTGGTATTGCTAGTATGATTATACGATTTTAGCAATAAGAAGTTTTAAAGCTTAAAACTGGTTTGTTCTTGTTGCACAGTTGCAGCGTTCTGTAAAACTGAACTTAAAAACCAACCAACCAACCAACCAAAACCCAAAGGTCCAACTTTGAACTTGAGGGAGAAGTGGCAAATGCTCACCTTGCCTCCTCAGCTTTTAGTCATGACACTATGGCAGAAATTCTAGATGTGCAGTAACTCAAGATCCTACATACCCTGCCTAGGTACTATTTAGCTTGAAAATACTGCAAGTAAGGCAAAAAAGCTGGGTCACCTCAACTTTAGGAAAGGAAATAAAAAGAAAATGACACTCATGAGGATTCTGGTATTAATTATTTTGAGCATATAATCAAATTCTTAGTTCCCCCAAAGGAAAATATCTGAGACACAAGAATTTAACTAAATTGAACTGCAGTGCAAGCTGTTCACTCATTAAAAGCCTGGAGGCCTGGACAGACCAGAAACATTGAGCAATGGTTGCTCTTCGTGATGAGGATGAAGCTTTGCAGTATCAATTGTACTAATAAATACTTGGTTAAAACATCTTGTTCTGTGATAATCAAGGTCCAAATCTCTCCATGTTGGTTCTACAATAAAGAGCTTACAAATTTGAGGGAACCATACATGTTGCTTCTTACCTGAAAACTCTTGAAAGAAATAAATTAGTTCTATTTATTAAACCAAATAAAATTATGTCAAATGCTTCAAGATAAGAAATTAGGCATTCCTGAAATATGCTTTATCTACGAAGCTGTTTCTTCTCCTGGGTGTGTAGCTCCATGATTTTCTTCTCACACATGATTTAGAAAAAAAAATAGTAGAAAAAATCAGCACATTTTCTCATGCTTTTTTATATTAAGTGATTTTTTTTATATTGTTTCCTTTCTTCTGTAAGGAATGTTCTTCATAAAATAAACATGAAATATAAAATCATGAATCTGCCATATTCTCTAAGAATTTAATTTATTTCTAAAGGCCTACAAGATTTATACTAAGATTGGAAATCGGTCTTTTTTTTTCTCATTAAACAATTGTTTCAAATATATTTATTCAGGTAATTTTACTAAAAACAGTAAAAAAAAAAAAAGAGAAAATTGTTGATTCTGGAATATTGCATCTGGTTTGAGGACTCATAAGCACTGAAATCTTATTTGGATTACCTGGAGAGGTTTTAGAGAAAAGCTATGTATGTACTTGTTGAAAAGCAGACTCTACATTCTTGGAACACAGTTCATTAAATTTATCAAAAAAACTCTATGTAGAATACATATTAAGAAGTGGAAGAAGGAAAATTACAATTAAGACCCAATCACTGGAAAAAGAAATAAGACAAATTAAGATGAGCACTAAGGAAGAATAACTTTTCATTGTAATCAGGATTAGCCACTCAAAAAAACACAATGCATTTTAAAGGGATCACCTTCAATGACATTTTTTCACCTCTGTTTGGCAATGTTTCTAAATGATATGTTGCATTTGATATAACAGTATGTAAAAGGAGAGTGTATGCTCTTTTAAGGGTATAAGGTCCAGGACCTTTCCCAAGGCCACACGGGAGGCAGTGATGTGAACTGAGTCTGGTCAGTCACAATAATTTATGAGTGCACGTGAGAATGTAGGAGTTTCCACTACAGCAGGGTTATCTGGTTGAGGACTTCTAAGACGAGACACAACGACCAGACCCCTGGTCTCGCTAATTGGTGGGCTATGAAACTACAGGCACTGTTTTCAGTACAATCAACATGGACTTTATAGCTGATAAGATCAAGAACCAGGGGGCTCTGGACTGGGAGGCTGAAGAAAACACAGAGCTCTGCTGCAGGTGTGCAGGGGGAAAGGGAAGCAGGAGGAACAAAATGGAGGATAGGTAGAAAATGGTAGAAAAGGACTGTTTGTGTGTAAAACAGGACTGGTCAGTATGCTTGACTGGCTGAGCCCAGCTCCTGATCACTGCAGTCAGTCCTTGTATTTCCTCCTTAAACTTTTTCTTACTTCTCCCTCCTTTTATTTGCACTTTCTCCTGTGTGTATGTGCATGGCAAGGACAACATGCCTGCTTACTGGCGAGACCTGTGTGCATGAGCAAAATTGTCCCCTGCAACTGGGGTCATGTCTGGGGGTGTAGGCCTGTGGGACGTGGTGCCTGTTACTGGAGCGAGTGGGGGTCTGGCATCAGTTATTGGGGGGAGAAGGGGAAGGGATTGCTGTCTTCATCTCCAAGTGTCCTACAGACTTTGTGCCTGGAGTGCCAGCTACTGGGGACCACTGTCAGTGAACTGGATGCCAGCTACTGGAGTCAGACTGGGTGTGTGGGTACCCTCAGTCTGTGGTGTCAGCTAATGATGCAGGTGAGGGCCTTTAGTGTTCCCAAAATAGTTACTGGGGTAAAGGAACCAGCGTTGAGTGAGGTGAGGGCAGGAGACCCATGAAGGAGGCAAGGGGGCCTGTGATACAGGCAAGGGTGCTAGATGGATAGAGGGGCCATGACAGGTACTCGAAAGATCCACAAATGGATCCTTCCATTTCAATGGATCCGTCCATGATCCAAATGTGTTGTGCGTTTGTGAATCTGGAGTGTGCTGTGTGTGTGCCTGCACCAGTGAACTTCCATCTCTACCAGCCACAGAGGAGCAAGGGTCTCAGCTGTCTATGGCTATGTTTTACTGGAGTCCTGTGTGTAGGTGCTGTTGAATGCAACCAGCCCTTAGTGTGTATGCCCAATTGTGGCAGTGTCCTCTCTCTATCTGCATGTCTGTGTGTCTCTGGGATTTGCTCAGATTTGCTACTGGCTAAACCTGCAAAGGGGAAGTGGCAGCTACATCCCCGGGCACTGAGCTGGGCCTCAGTGGCCAGACTGGAATGGTCCCAGGCTGGACCTTTACCTCACTTAACACCTGAAATAGGAAATAATTCAGGAAATGCCTTAACATGGTTTTTAGGTGAAATTAGTCTAGATAGATCACAACAGCCCATACTGCCTTTATGAAGCTATAACACACTGTGAAGGTACTAATATCTGTTAAGAATTACTTTTCCTCAATTGTTTGAAGCTCAAGGCACACAAATCTAAGTGTCTTTAAGTCTCATTTTCAAAGAACAAATTGCAATAAGATTTTTACTATATTAAGCACTGTTTGCCCTTTCTGTAGAAATTGTATAATGATGAGTTCTACAAGGTACCTTTCCAATTTCCATTACATACCCTGTAGGATAGTATGCTAGATTTGATAGGTGAGTGCACTGATCCAGAATGCCAAATTCAGTGTTCCCAGATTCTTTTACTTGTTTGTTTTATTAAAGTGTTAACCAAACTGCCATGTAAAAAGAAAATAAGGAAATGTCCTCAGTGCAGAGATGAAATTCTTTGTCATGACTTTAAACAGGATCAATGGTGCAATACTATTTAGGTAACACCAAAGGAGATTTAAAATAAAAACACCAGATCAGTTTCATTTACTTCATTTTTTTTTGTACTTCTTCACACAAATTTGTCATCTAAGTTGTGAAAGGCAGAAGAACTACTTAAGATATGAAAAAAAGAATTTGACTCAGCATTTTGTCTTTTTTTTTCCTTCTTTTTCTTAAAATATTACAGTATAGCCTGGAGTAGCACTATAATGAGGTACGTCACAGTTAAGGGAATAATGTCTCCTACCTCCAGTTATCAGGTGCGGAAGGATGGTGGTGGTGTAAAGATATTTCTTAATGGTTGTTACTTAGCAGGTACACTTCCAGAAGGAGTTTCTCTAGGTTCCATACATTTAGGCTGTAAATTAGAAAACTCACTTTGCTTTGCTAGTACATTTAATGTTTCTATTCATCTTCCCCCCCCTCTGGTACTGAACAGTAAACAACACCTCAAAGATGTTTTTCCTCCATGTAAGCATAAATTAGATCACCATAACCATTCCTGGAGTTCATACTTTTAGAAGACTCACCAGGAAAAAAGAAAAAAAAAAGAGACCAAAAACAAGCAAAGCAGAGTGCGCTCAAAAGGGAGATCAAAAGGGTTCAATTCATTCAGATTATCAGGATGAAGAAGTAACTTGATTAAAGAATGACAGTTATTTCACAAAGCAGAAATATCAAATATTACAAGGACAATTATTTATTGATAAAAGCTGTAATAAGAATATAGAAGAAAGACAAATTCAAATAAAAACAAGGTGTTCACTTTAATGGTAATGAACCACTACAACAAAGTACCAAGGGGAATGGAGAATTCTTTACAGGCTGATGTATTCATCTCAAAGTTTTATGATTTTTTGGAGGACACTTTAGGCTGACGGTTTTTAAAGCTAGTAAATGGCCACAGCGTTACCTAGCTTGACCTTGTGCATAGTGTTAACCATAGGAGTGCATTGCAACAATGGATCATAGTTTTAATTTTTAGAAAATAATTTATTTTTAAAAACCCATCTAAAAACACATTTCTAATGATGTAGAGTCTATAATAAACCTTGGTAAATTGCTATAATGGATATCCTCCTTCACAGCTGATGCCCCCCAAAATACTTTTTCACGGCAACTTGGATTTTCTGTGGGCAACATAGGGTGATGGGGCTACTTGAGATAAATTGATGACAAACATTTCAATTTCTCACATAACAGTAGATACCTATTCTTTGCAGATAAATGATCACCCTTCATTTTAAAGAGTTCATGCATACAGAGTCATGAAGAGTCATCATAAAGAGTTCATTTTTAACACCAAGTCACACAGATCCTATCACCAAGGTTTAACACTACCCAATAGGTCATATCTATGCTCCTAAGTGAGAAATTCCTATGCACCATATGTTTTATCCAGCATCATGATACTTGATGAATACTTAGAATATATATTTTTTTAATTATTTTTTTTGCCCTTTCTGGCATCTTAACCAATTTTGATCTCAAAACACACTGAATCTATGCTAAGCACGTTCCTTTATTTAACTGAAAACAAATTATACTTTGATTAAAGACAAGCTACTGACCTCTTTAAAGGTAAAGCAGATGAAATTTAACAGTTTCTGATCCGCTTGGGGTCAGGATCAACATATAATGATGCCAAGCCATCACGACCTCTGTAAGTAATCATAGTAATATTCACTTATTTTCTACAGAGAAGGTCAATCAAATTTACCTTTCACACAATCCCCAATTGTAGTTTCTTTCTATGGCTAGAACGAATTTTGCTTGGAGTATAAATTAGGTATCCTAGAAGCAGTTTGCTAAAATCTCCCATGAGATTTTTGGGCTGTTTTCACCTTCTAAATTTTCCTCTTTGTCCAGTGTTGCAGTTCTTACTGAGAACTCTTATTAGCATGGATGTGGGTACACAGAAACTTGTAGAGGCCCATCTTTGAGGAACCTGCTTGTTAAGGTGGGGAGAGCAGAAATTCTGAAATAAGGGGCAGAGCTAGAGCCAAAAATTTAATGGCGTGGATGAAAGATTTAGAAGTCATGGAATAGTGGGAAGGCATCTGCTGCCTCCATTTCTCTAAAATCTATGCCAGCAAACATTGTGGTATGACTTTTGTATATAATCTTCCATAGCAGTAACTTTATAAAAATTCTTACTCAGAAAATTACTGGTATATCAATTATAAAATGACTTCCTAGCTCATACCAATTTAGAATACTACACAAACCTAAGCTGTAATATTTATGATGAAGCACTGACAATACAGACTTTCAGTCCCATAACACTCACATACATTTTTCTAGAAGCCTCCATGATATCTTTCAGAATCCAAATACACAGCGACAATTAGAGAATTTCATCTTAGTGTTTATTTACTGTGAACGCTAAGTGCTATTAATATATATATCATCAATTTAAGAGTTCAGTATTTTGAGCAAACAAGCTACTTTGAATTTTAGCATTTTTCTGTGTTGACAGCAACTGAACCTTATGAAACAAAGCAATTTCATAAAATTTGTAATATTAAACTCACAGCACAGAGAGGCTGACTTACCCAGAACAAAGCACTTTTGAATTTAGGTCTTTATGTGGCTGATGATAAATCAAATGTAAAATTTGAGTCAATGGAGATCACAGAATCACAGAATAGCTGAGGTTGGAACAGACTTTGAGCTTACCTGGCAAGGTTTTGGTAGCAGGGGTGTCCTCTGTGAGCAGAGCCCAGCAGCTGCCCCATGTCAGATCAGAGCCAGCTCCAGCCGGCTCCAACAGGGACCTGCTGCTGGCCAGAGCCAAACCAAGGAGAGGTGTTGGTTGTCCTTCTTGGAGGGCAGATTGACGAAAAAAATGCTGTGCAACAGCAGCTGAGGAGTGGGAAAATGTGAGAGAAGCAGCCCCAAGACCAGTGCAGAAGGAGGGCAGGAGGTGCTCCAGGCACACAGCACAAGTTCCCCCGCAGCCTGTGGAGGAGCCCCTGGCGGAGCAGGTGGATGTGGCCTGGAGGAGGCTGCGGCCCATGGAGAGCCCCCGCAGGGGCAGGCCCCAGGCTGGAGCTGCAGCCCATAGGGAGGAGCCCACGCAGGAGCAGGAAGACTTTTTTTTTTTATTTTTTTAAGCACATAGCACTAGAGCTAAGAAGTACAAAAGGGCAGAAAAAGTGAAAGATACACAAAATAATGATATTTGCAAACATTTTAACACAGTCTGTGAAATGACTGCGTGAGTGCAACATAACCTGAAAATACTCGTGCTCAGGTCCAAAATTCTAGATAATTTTAACATCCATGCAGTGTTGTATACTAACCAAATGTTCCCAGAGGGACAAGGTTCAAGCATTACTAAAAGGTCTAAGTGAACTAGAGACTCATGCAAAACATTTAGGACACTTTCTAGAGTTCAAGAGCATAGACTCTGTAGATATATTCAGAAATCCGTTAAGACTGACTGCTTGCAAAGTGCTCTTTGGATTATACCCTAAGGCAGAACTACTTGGAAGGCAAGGAAGCTAAACACAGGTCATGTTCTGTGGATCTTAATGTTAAGCAAAATATCTTTATAGCTTCGTTATGTGTCCACAGAAATTAAGAAAACAAAAATGCAGAATACTAGTCCTTAGTATTCTAGTATACTAGTCCTTCAGCTACAATGAGCTTTCTTCCTATAAGCAGTACTGTTTCTTTGAATTAGTTATTAAATATTAAAAAAAAATTAAATAGTTCCACAAAATAAATAAATGGCGACCCTGCTGTTGGTCCTTTCTCCTGCTAAGCAAGTACCTTGGCTCTCTGATCCACTAATCCTACACTGACTACTTTAAATGGTGAAGATGTTGAAGAGAACACCCTGTAAATTTTTCCCTCACTGAAGCACGTATCTGATTGAATTCTCAAGGCTTGGGCTTAGTGGCTATACATCTACTAGGAGATTAAATGTACCAAGGTCTGTCCTCTATATTTGAACCTGGGAAAGAATGGTCTGCATATGTTGTTAGCTTCCAAGGTGAAAAGACCATGTTTAAACAACATGTTTGGAAGTTTCCTGAGTCTGATTCTTAAACAGCACCAGAGAATAGTTTACCACAGTATAAAACCAAGCCAGACATTTCTAACAATTTATTAGGATAAACAATTGTTTGCTAGTGCTCACTCCCTAGTGTATACTGGTAAAAATGTGCCTTTTTATTTTAGCTAACAATCCAGGCTCAGATGCTTCTTTGTGGCTGCCTGAAGGAGATCTGGAGCTTTGGTTGAGGCTGGGCCATCATGGACATGGAAGAGGATGTAGCAGGGGCTGAATCTGTGCTTTCCGGACGACCATTTCATAGTGAACAGCATGGTACTGTATTTGTGGAGTTAAGTATCAGTTTCTGTCTGTAGTAGCTCCAATTTGCCTCAGTTATGAAATCATTATATTTGGTGGATATATATACACACACACACATATATATTTATGGTTATATATATGGATATATATAAATACGGATATATATAAATACAGATATATATAACATATATATATATTATATAATATTTTATATATACATGGCTTTGTCTTCATATAAAGCATGAGGTCACAGACCAGGATTTCTTCAATATATGTAAAGACATCTAGGAGGCCTACTTCCAGCTGACTTTCAGGTTACTTGAGGTATCCAGGATGAAGATAACAAATGCATGCTTAGATCACCTCTTTTTTTTTCAAATTTTTTTATTTTTTTTTCTGAATGTTCATCAGTACATTTTTGTTTCTTTAAATAGGTATAGCAAGCTTCAAAACTGCCTCCATTTCTAAACTGAAGTAGGTAAGTAATGTCTTTCCCCACAAATTTCAGTTGTGCTAAGGACTGAAGCTGATTATTGCCAGAAGGAAAACTGAGGGAATAAATGAACAAATTTGTTTGAGCTGTGCAAAAAATGGTTTTTGAATATGATTATCCTTATCTTTTGGATTAAAATGTCAAGTTGTATTTTTCCGAATGTACAAATGACTCTAAGTAGGAATTTTTCTACTATGATTTTGTATTCACATTCCTCTACTTCTGGGAAAGGAGGAGAAAGATTATTTAAAAAATAATTGGAATTTCTGAGCTGGCCAAAAGACCTTAATCAAGAATTTAACTCCTCCTCCCTCCTTAACATCAGAAAGATTAATTTTTAATAGCTGAATATGTTGCCAGTATTAAATGTTCAGTTCTGCCTTCTAGTACTGATTTACATACAGATAATGCAGAAAATGCTCTGACAGAATAAAGATGTTTGGAAAAAAGGACCTCCTTACATTTAAAAATATGTATCATATCAACATTATATGCATACTGACAATGACATAGAGCACAAAAAGCATAAATGTTAGATGTCTGTCTTGAAGACACCTACAACTGAGATAGTGATCTAGAATTCCTATATAGTCAGATGAGAAAGAAGTTGAAGGACTGCTATGGTGTGAGTCATCTGATTTTTGTTTTTTGACGTCTAGATTATAACAAAAGGAATTTTACCATAAAAATGCTTGTTTTCCTGTATACACTATAAAGGAACCTAGATCACTAATTTAAATGGAGATGACTGTCTGATGACTGTCTGCCTGTCAGTGAGTCCTAGAACTTTCTCTTTCCAATGTTATTCAAATTCTCTCTGTTTTCATGCCTTTGAATATATTTCCTGTGAAAGCAACGGATAATATAATATTAACATTATCTCCTAATGTTTTATAGGACCTTTAAAGAATGGTCCTAGCTCATTTAGTGTCATGAAAACTAGGAAAAAAGCATTATTAAAATGTGAAGTCTCAAAATACTGAAGCCCATTTTTCCTTTTCATTTTCTGATTTCATTACTTTGCAACTGTAATATTTCTTTAACAGAATTATGGAAATATGAGCGCAGGTAAATATTTTTGCAGTAGTAGTTTAGCATTGTTCATTGTAAAAATAATACCCTTCCCTGACAAAAGGAGCATTCTTTCATTGAAGAAAATGACCCTCAATACTCTACATTTACTTCAGTTTTTTGGTCCTGAGTATTAGTCCAGTTTTGAAAGGAATTCACAGAATTTCCATTCCCTGTTTGCTGGTTGGATTCACAGACCAGCTGCTGCACACCAAGTAGTCTCAACCCATATGCACAGTAGGGACATTCTGCCATGGAGACTGCATTAAATCTAGGCTGAAATAAAACCTATGGTCTATGTAAGGCCTGAGATTTAAAGGCTTCAATTCACTGTTACACTCCTATTTCCCTGAGTTACTTCCCTCTGTAGACGTATCTAGATCTGTCACACGTAAATTAAAACATATGAGAGGGAGCTTTTTGGTTGTATTTGTTTTGTTTTGTTTTTAAAAGTAAAGAATATCTGTAGTGACAGATTTTGTAAAATTATACTGATGAGTTACCATAGTAATAAAATGTGTTACAACAACAGAAGATTTTATGGCAGTTTGTATCTTGGGAAGGCTAAATATTTTCCTCTTGCAAACACTTCTGGAAATTTGACTGATTCATTGAACAACTTATGATCGTAAAATCAATGCTGGTTACAGAGTGTTACAGCTTTGGAATAGTGCACTGGTTTATATTTTGGTCTTAGATGTTCTAGACCTACTCAGTATTGAATACGAAATGTAGTATTTGAGGATCAGAAGCATGTATAGAACTTTATAAATCAC